TAGAACAGGTGGGTTAACCTGCCCATGGGACAAGGGCAAAGGAGACCCTCATGCAGCCAAACCGGAGATCTGTCATGCAGCCAAACGGTCCTGTAGCCGTAAAGCTCCCTTCTGGTTGTTAAATGAACAATCGGTCAGGCAGCCAGGCTTCACGCCCCTCTCTCTCCTACTCTCTCCTTTGATAGTGGACCATCTCCCCCAATCCGAACTTAGAATTGAAAATAATTCACCTATTCAAAAAGTTTCATACCTGCACTTAAGGAAATCACCTCAGTAGTGACAGGGCTTGGTATGCCCTCCCCTTAGTGCAGTCGGTAGCGCTACCGACTGCAGTAAGCCTCCATGTGATTCCCTTAAGTGCAGGTGAAAATAATTCAGGGATGCTTAAATCAATGCAAAAACCATGCCCCATTGATTGAGAGCCATGGGCTTACTGAGGTCGGTAGCGCTACCGACCTCCCTAAGGGGGGGGTATGGCATGCCCTCCCCTTACTGCACTGATTTCCTTAAGTGCAGCTGCATTTTGAAAATAAATAGTTTCAATCAGGGTGACCAGCAAGAAAAGAACATATCATCCGCCGAAAGTCCAAACAGTGGTCAGAGACTTGACTTTCCACATGTTCTAGAGAATCATATCCTTGCTTGAATGTGTAGACTGTAGACAGAGATTCACTAACAGCACTGCTGCTGTAAGTTTGTACGGATGGTACTAAAGAGCACATGCTTGTTCCATGCCCTACCGAATCACAACGGGTCCTAAAGAGAGAAAGCTGTGACTTCACGGGGTGCCCTATGTTTGGGGAGTTCAATCCAGACATCCCAGCCTTCTCCCCAACTCATAGGGAGATTTAAACATGTCAAAAATAAGGGAAATGATTTTTTGACTTTGTTAAGTGCAGGGCAGTATACACACAATATATATATATATACAGTACACAGTTTCCATGGGGATCATACCCTCCTTCAGGAACGTTCATGTGGTTGCTGCTCATTGCTGGACGCGCTGTGGGGCGTGAAGCCGGGTCGAAACCGGGTGTTTGAGACGAAGTCCATCGGTGGATTTTCCCAGTAGGTCAGACCAGTTCTTGGTCGATATAGTAGGAACTAGGCAGCGAACGTATGTGATGATATGGTAGAGACATGCAGAAATGGGTGTTTGCTGATGATATGGTAGCTCGACCATCCTGGACATCACTAAGATTCCCAATGCGACCAGTTTGGAGACTGGGACTCCCATGATGTGGCCACTCCTTTGCAATGCTGGGGCCCCACCCTGGGAATGGGCAGGAAACTCTTTGTTACATTTGCCTTGGTCTAAACAAACATAATATGTACATTATACTTGAAAGGGACAACATCGAGGAACTCCAAGCATTCGGATGTTTTGCAATTCTCCTTTTTGTATGTGGTATGTATCGAATGCCATGATCACCTGCTCAAAATACAGAAAATATGGGTGTAGGGTCAAAACCGGAGCCCAAACCCTGGTACCTCACAGCCATATCAGACAAGCATGTTCAGAAATGACGATGATGAGAGGATGATTTGGGAAAACACTTTTATTTTTTTCAGAATGGTTACATTTGTTTGTCTTCTTCGGTGCCCTCTAAACCGGGCTGGTACCTTTGGTGTAACTTCAACTCGGCTTAGTCGCTCGCTCGGAGGGGTCGTTCGTCCTGGGCCGTTCCCCGTCCCTGAGGCGTTGAGCGCGTGTGGTCGGGGACACCAGTGGGAGATGGCGCTGGCACTTCTGAAGCAGATGGGAGCTGTTCAGGTGACATCGGATCGGAGTGGACGGGTGCCATGGTGTGGCGATGGCAAGGCTTATGGAATGAAGGAACCAGTGCAGGTATTTGAACGAATTGGTGTATCTGTCGTGGTTGTTAAGAGTTCTTTAGTCTTTCATGTTACTTTGCGGAATGAATATACTGTTTTTGAAATGGATTTAGGAGCTTCCGGCAGAGGACATTCGAGCTGGGTAGAGGGGAGTCACTTCAAATCTTCAAGACGTGTCGAGAGAACAACCTTTTTTTCCATCACAACCTGCTTCCTTCGAGCATGCAGTTCTTGTCGCCCAGAGTGTTGAGCACTGAATTGTGGTTGTATAATACATGTTCTAGGTTCAATTGCCATGACCTCCCCCGGATATTGTAACTTACATACTGTAAGTCCTTCCTTAATAGGCAGGGTTGTTGCATACATTTGTAACACATGGCACAGCAAAATGGCTTGGTAGGTACATTCAGTTCAGATCTATGTTTGAGTGAATGTAAGGTTTGGAAATTTGAGAGCTTTTGGTTGGTCTATACTATAGTCTATATATACTAAACAGATTTGCTTGCAAGATTCTGGGTCAAGTCATCCTTCAGTGGATGAAAGAAGGAGCACTTGTCCAAAAGAATTGAATAAACCGATGGTTGCACAGACTTTTTTGTTTGCTGGCCACTGTTTGTGATAGAACCCGCAAAGCATGTTTAAAAAGATAACGATAAAGCCTGCTACGTCCTCCGTATGTTTTCTTTGACCATCTTTAGGTGCAACCCTATTTTGAAGCCACAGCCTCCTGTGCCACAACACGTCATGGCAAAACCATTTACCCCGCGCTTGCACCGCAGGTTCAGCCGGATGTGGTCTCTTACACAGCCACTGCCACGTCCTGCAACCGCAGCCGAGAATGGGCCAAGGCAGGGTCCAGTTTTCCAACCTCGTGGATTCTGGGTTTCCGGCCTTTGTCCTTCAACATGGAGCAGTGTCCGACCTTTGTGCGTCATGGACAACCCAGGAATCCAGGAAACCGGAAAAAAGCATGGAACCTCATCAACGTTATGCACAGAAGACGGAGTTTGCACGTGAAACCAACTCGTTGTTCGTTCTATGTGTCGAAGAGCTCCAGAGTTGGTGTAGATTTAGCATGTTGGAAGAGCACCAAAACCACTCAGAGACCCATCATCGTCCCTCAAAGTCCCCCGCAACGAACCGGTTGCCCCCCCTTCCGGGACTTGCAGCGTTTCACCGGTGATGTCTTCACCTTCCGGAAACGCCTCACCTCACCCGTCTGAACCCCCGCTCGCTCGCGCCGAACCACCGCAGGCTTTGGAGCTCTACCGTGGGGCGTCCACCAACTCGGTCGTGCCTGGGCCGAGCATCGGTCGTTCCGATCCGGCGCCGGTGGTGCGAGGGTCCAAATCCATGCGCTCACCCTCCCTGCAGCTGATGCTACATGAAAATAAATGTATGTCGGCCTGGGGCTAACGGCTAACAATCGCCCGCAGTGTGAGTCGGATGAGTCCAAAGGCACACGTGGACCCATTGGCCGTTCAACGTCTCATTAGACGCACCGCCATGCAGACTCGCGCAAGGGCCAAGCAAGGGCCTAGTATTTTACGGGAGTATGTTTCTATCGCATGGATGTCCTCCTGCAAAATGTCGGCCTTTTGACAGCAAAGATAATTTGTGGCTGATTGGTCAACGATAGAGAAATGAAAAGAAGACCATCCGTGGACTATGATCGCAGGCCGTAAGAGGTCCGGAACGCAGATGGTGTAATAGCAGTAGCAGTAGCAGCAGCAGTAGCAGCAGTAGGAGTAGTAGTAGTAGTAGTAGTAGTAGAGTAGCAGTAGCAGTAGCAGCAGCAGCAGCAGAAGTAGTAGCAGTTGTAGTTGTTGTTGTTGGTGCTGGTGGTAGTGTTCGTTGTTGTTGGCGCTGTTGCTGTTGTTGTTGTTGTCGTTGTTTTAATGTGTTTGTTTAATGGTGAAAAGGACAGCATCGTTTGGCACGGGGCCGCTGTAGTGGCCAGTCAAGCATGGACAAACAATACAAAAAGAAAACGATTTTTTGTAGGTCGTTTTGATGCATGTCATTTGCTAATTTGAACGAGGTAGTGTTCAGAACTGGTTCCATACCCTAGGGATCCACACACGCTTAATTCGAAGGCGATGTGAGAGACATGTTTTATAGTATCTTTGTTTGTAAGCTTGGAGAGTCCAAGTATCTTCGGAGAAGGTTTGGATGATTTTGGATGTTTGGGGTTGACAGAAGAGTATTGACATACATAAATGCCAATATTCACAACTTATGGAACTCCCAGCTCCACAGTTGCTGGCAGAAATCACAATTTCACTGAGTCTATATTTTGTCTTATGGGTCCGAAAAGCTTGCGCCAAAACCAAAACACATCCGGACAACTACTAATTCTGTTGGTGTGATTCCACCTATACCTTCACCTCCCCCCCCGCAAGACCACTTCCCCTTGCACCCTTCGTGCCTACTATTCACCCTTCGTCTTACGGGTTTCTGTGCCTTTGCAGGTGCTCTATAGTTGCGCCATGAAGGCATGTCAGCTGGGCACGGAGTGGCACCAGGCCTTGCAGCTTTTCCAGGACGAACAAATCGAAAACGGAGCGGCAAGCCGGTTCCGGGATTCGAAAGGGGTCGAACCAGTCCGGAGTGATCGAACCACTTGTTAGGGGTTACAAAGCCCCCTTAAATGCAAAATCCAGGTGCCCATGGCCTTTGTAACCACTATCTTGTTAGTAGATTCAGTGACTGTTTTGGAGTTCCGGTTCGAATACGTCGCATCCCATCGGAGTAGAGTGCCGCGATGAGGAGATGCAAGAGACTTCCTACTGGCCGGACATTGCTGCCTTTAATCCTTGCCGCGCAGCAGGGATGGAGGACATGAGAGACTTCATAGGTTCGTGTTGATGGGAAAAGAGAATGGAAGACATGTAAACAGGTGTGTTAGTTACGTGTAATCAAACTTGGTGAGTTGATGAGTTGTCGGATGCATGTCATTCCTGATTATTCTGTTTTACCAAGAACCGAGTGCGCTTCAAGAGGTGGATGACCATGATGACCTTAACCGTTCACAAGAAAGAACCACTGAGTCGGACGTCGGATGGGTTTTGGTAACGTCAACGGTTGGGGGCGGCCGTTTGCCCGCCCCCACCCAGAGAAGCTATGAACTTCGCAGCTGAAAAACCACTTGCCCTCCTTCTGATAGGAATTGATTCACCTGGAATGGTCATAGAGTCATAGTCTTACTGGTAAGTGTTTAAAACACATGTAGCTGGTTGAAGCTTTATAGTATCTATCGCAGCGTGCTTTGGTTATAATTTTCGCTATTATAGATAATCAATGCCTTTTCGCTGCACTCCGACTCCGACTCACTTCGCAATGGAACATGAGAAAGCACAATGGAAAAACACACGTCCATCGAATGGTCAAAACGAATCATCGTCACAACTCCAGCTCAGTTTTCGCTCCCGAAACACACGGGAAGAGTTTGAGTACACACCCAGACCACACGGGTTGGGGCTGGATGCTGTACACATCGATCTGGGACAGGATCTGTTGGATGCAGCACCATGTTTTGGGTCACATTTGGCCGTGGTGGCTTACGGGAGTATGATCCAAAACCCATTTTTGAGAAGAAATGCAGAGGAAAACCGGTCCTGCAGGTCCGTAGTACCTTTGACCTATTAAATCCCAATGTCAGAGTATTTGCTGTTTTCAATGTGGCGTGCCAGATTGGAGCCAGGAAATCTGATGCATGGTCAATTTATTGAGCCAAAGCCATATTCGTGTGCAGTGTGCATTTTGTTTCATTGAACTTCTATAGAGTTTCAGATTTGTCCTACAGTCTTCCAGTCTTCCTATTTCTGTTCAAAAAATAACACAGATCTCCTACCTCCTCCGACCTATAGATCAACCTTCCTATATATCCCGTGGAGTCCACCACATCGTCCGAAAATCCGAGGTTTGGGTGCTGTGGTGGACTCCAAGCATTGGGAGCAAGCCTTAACGTTGCTGCAGAAGATGCCCGGACTGCCCAGTAATGCCCACGCCCGGGTTCGGCGGGATCGAGCTCGGAACCGGGTCGCAACCTGTCTCCGAGGGGATTCACTCGACCTCTTTGCCGGAAGCTATATTATATATATGTTTGGCTGGTGATCGGATGGGATTTGGTGTTTGTTGGATAGAGGGGTTGTTGTTGTTGTTGTTGTTGTTGTTGTTGCTGGTGTTGTTTGTTGTTGGATATGTCCGCACCAACATGTTCTGAGCCTGTGGGGTTCCATACCGGGTCCAACACATTGCCAAGCGTGTAACCTCGAATGTTCAACAACCCACTGTAGTGCCTTTTTGTCACCTTTGAGTTTCCACTGTAGACCCTTACCATCTCCAGTTCCCCGACTGTCCTCCATCATCAATTGATGTTGCTTCAGACCAGAAAGACTCCCTACCCTGAAAGTAATAGTTATAAGTGGGACAATCACCTTGTGCCTGTTTGTAGAGGAACATGATCATGCAATGCCATCCACTTCCAGGGTGATGTCAGCCAGTGTCACCATCAGTCTTTGCTGGTGTTGATGGGAAAGATCGAACAACTGTCGTATGTCTTGAAGTATTCACCAGTCATTTTTTTGTGTTGTCGTGAGGGAAGGAGTGTGAAGCGAAGTGGGAGTTTAGGCAAATAGGTTGAGAGCCCGACCTCGCAATAACTCGACTCACCTATGGACCATCGAGTATTAAATCCACACCAATCCGCTCTCCTCATGCTCTCCTTTGCTTGGCGGCCTGTCACCGCTCGGCCGGTTTCTTCGCCAAGGCCGTCCTTGGCTTTGCAGCCTAATGGAGGTACTAAGAGGTGGGCCTTGTAGCAGTGATGCCAGTCTTTAAACCTGAAGGACCCTGCATCGGCTGTCCCAGCCTGACCGGTCACCGCGCTGGCAGGATCCACAGGTTCACTATTTCCAATATGCTATGTCTAAAACTCAATCAAGTCTTGAAGGAACAATTGAAGTCCTACTGAATTACACAGTTTGCATGGTGAGTCATTTGAATGGAAGGAGGTCTGCAGCTGGTTCGGTGAAGATCTGCGGAAGCGCTGTTCGTTACAGTTTGGGCTAGGGATCCTATAACAGCCAGGGGTAAGAGGATCCCATTTCTCTGTACGATGCTCGTGTCGATACAGAAGACCTGCCGTGTCTTTCCGGCGTCAGGGGTCTGGTCGACCAGACCAGGGTGGTGGACGGAGAGTCCAATTCATGTCGTCCAAGGGAGATTCGATTAGAGTACAGCCTAGGAAGTGTTGCATGTGAACGCTTTCGCAGGCTTCTGCTGCGAGCTCTTTCGGATCATTGGCAAGGCAGTCTTGAGCTGCCCCTGGTCGAACCAAGTCGTGGGAGGAATCAAGGGATGAGGGGGGGGTCCGACGGGAGACGGGAGTTGTTAACAAACTGAAGTTGAGTGTGGCCTCCGAGTCAAATGATGCGATAGACATTTGTCCAGTCCAAAACAGCCACAAGAGTCTCAAAAGAGGTGCAACATCATCCGCAGCATGATCGGGAGGCAGTGGGTTGGGCAGTCGGTTAGGCCATGAGGCAGACATGGCCGCCACTGCCAGACCTCCAGAGATGACTGCAGAGGCTTCAAGGGGATTGATTGTCCTGCCGCCGGCGTGGCGTACGACCTTCCTCAATGTTTGATTCCTTTCTTCCGCATTCCTGCAATGTTTGCTTTGAAGGATGATGGAAGTTGTGCACTTTCAGGGACATGGCTTTCAGACGGGTCAAGTGAGCCTTGAAGCGTTCGGTATTTTACTATATTTCAGTGAATGCATTAGACATTGCGGATGTCACCGCTTGCATGTGCTGTACAGGCCAAGAAGCAAGAACACACTCTGGCATTGATGAATCAGTCCAGTTGAACAGCTAGATCTCAGGTCTCAAACAGGCTGGTTCCCTGAGCAAACCCTGACGATGATTGAGGCTGGGAAGCTAGTGCTAGCCATCAAGGCAGGCCGCCTGGAGCTGTGGTTCACCCCCAAACTCGTCGGGCTGTCTCAAAGAGGAGATCCACCAGCCTTAGTGACTGAAACTGGTCGGGCTGGATGCCCACGGCAAGGTGTTTGTGGTGTTGAAGACTTTCTACCACGGTGAACCAAGGACCCAGGAGAAAGGATTTTTATTGGGACCTGGAAAGTTGCTGCTTGGGTGCTTGAAATAGTTCAAGTTCTTCCCTCAACAAAAGAAGATATCCCTTGTTTTGCCATGTTTTTACAGGCAGGTGCTGAAGAATACTTGCCCTTCCTGTACCAGTTTGCCGGCTTCCGAATCTGGACTCAGCCACCTCCAGACGACCCCTCTCTTCCCTGCTTTTTTGGGGGTTGAGTCCAATCCTATATATATATATACATATTTGGTCAGTGCAACCCAATATCCATGCCCAACTCACCTGAAACAGAAGCCATTTTAACAACCAAGTGCGAGAGCCTTAGATCTCACCATGCAAATCTGTGTGTGTGCTTTTTGATGTGTTTGTTGCATGGTTTTTGCATGTTCAATAATTGCTCGGTCGCTTGTGCGCTGGATCTTTCTGCTCAGTGGTGCCACAAGTGGCCCCAGAAGAGCCATGGGGGAAGTATTGGAAAGGCCGATCGAGACCGGGACCCAACAGGAAGGATGACTCCGAATCTAGGCTACAGCTGCACTGACTGAACGTCCCTCTTTCCAACAGGAATATCGATATACTCCGATATTGGCTTCCTTGGATGTGATCTTTCCCTTGGACTGCCTTGGTGAGGTTCCTTCCAAGCCTTTCAGCATGCATGAATGGCTACAAGTATGCCCCATCAACAGCAAACTCTGTCCAGTTGCCAGTACATTAAGAACCAGGCACAGTGCACCACATACAAAGCTTAGACAAAGTGTATGAACTCGACTCCCCTAGCAATATCATCTTTGCAAGACGATTTCATTTTGCGCTGAATCCCTGCAAGACTCGCCATGGCCCTTCGCTTGACACGGAGCGGAGTTGTTTGTGCACGGAGAAGATGGACCTGCACTTAGCGCAACTGGTGGGCCTTCTGAAATATGTCCTTGTTTTGGATAGGGAAGAGGTCCTGAAGTAGGTGCTTCACGACCTTTGCAGCGTGGGGCGTTCATTTCAAAGACTGGAACTGCTTAGGGCTGGGGTTACCGACCAACGATCCCTTGTTCCAAATCCCATCATCTTGACAATTTGACCGTATCTTTGATGTTTATATTACAAGGGCTGTGTGATTACACAAAACATGCTTTGACTAGACTATATTTGTATATATTTTGTGGGGTTTAGTTTAGTATCAAACAAACTCTCGAAGGAGGGTGAAGTCCACAGGCTCATGTTGTTTAATTAAAGCCAACTTTTGGGCTACAGATTCTTGACCAACATGAATAGATTGTTGTGCTGATTCTTAGTGGCTGTGGCAGAACATTGTATATCCTTGCAGATGATCATGGCATCTATTTTGCTGTGCCCTTTCGCACGGTTGCATCAGGATTTACGAAGGACTGAAATTATCCTACCATGTTTAAACGTTGACTCCAAAAGACTCCAAGCTTCTCTCTTTTCCTGAGAATTCTAAACAGTTACACGCACCCAGCACTTTGCTTGCATGGGAAGCTCCCCAGTGACTGCCTCCACTGCCCCTGAGGCTTCCCTTGGCTTTGCTTGCGTACTGCCTATCGTCAAAGGCCGAAAACGGAGCCGTTCACCATCGCGGTCCTCGTGTTTCATCAATCCGTGGTGGTGGATCAGTTAGTTTCATCAGGAAGTTGTGTTTTGTTGGCTGCAGATACGCGACATCTATGCACCTTTTTCCAAAGCTGATCATCTTGAGGATGACCATGTACGATTTATACTGGGTATAGTAGTGTACTGTACGTACTATTTTCCGTACATGGACAATGAGAACAACTTTACTTCAGAGAATCCTGCCGAGTTTGGTCACAGCTATCGTTCCGCTCCCGGGTTGGCTATGTTTGTTTCACAGTTGCGTGAGACCTCTTGCAACAGGGCACCTGATAAAATTGAAGCCACGGTTGTTGTGTGTTTATCTTTTTTGCGGCGGCCGGCCACATCGGAGCTTAGCACAAAAAACATGTGTACTCACTCCAACGACGTGAGCTCGCTCAGCAACGTGAGCTCGCTCGGCACTTCATCCTCGGTCTGTTTCGTTCCGAAGGTCGACACCCAAATGATTCGACCCACTGCGCCACTGCCTGAAGTCCATGTGATCTGTGCAAGTCGATGATGTGTGGATCTCGAGACGACGTTCGATCTCCGAGACTGAATGACGTGGACCGTGCCAGGCGTTTGTACCACCAGGCGCGCCGTCGCAGCGGTCTCGGAACCTCAGGTTCCGTGGATCTCAATCCCCAAAGGCTCTGGCAGGTGCTGTTTCTTCGTGGTGAAACATGGAGCCAGTCATCATGTTCAGGTGCTTTTGTTGTGGTGTTATTTTTAATTTGTGTTCTGGCAGATGATCACTTTTACTCACATGGAGCGCTTGGGAATGTGAGTTGATCAAGTCAAAGTTTGGATCAATCCATGCAGGCAGCCTCCGTGCCGAAATCAGATTCACTCCCTTTGATGGGGAAACCATAGAAAAGATCTGAACACTTCCGCTCAATGGACGTCTCCATCCTCAAACGCTGCAAATCTGGAATTGGTTGCTGGTCGAAGCTGCAAGGGGTCTGAATCTGTATGGAGCATGGAATCAAGACCAGGCGTCCTGGATGAGATGGGTCTCATCATACTATACATTGAGATTGTTGATTGATGGAAACGTATTGAGATATCTTGTTATAGTAGTATAGATGGTTTTGTAGAAGATGCAGTAGGTGAGTAGTACTGAACCACGCACATGGGGTGGTCAAGAGATGCTCCATGAAAATCCATGATACTTTTGATCATCTCATCCTTCAATGGGAGGTCTTGGCAAAAAGATGCCACTACAGGAAGATCCCTCAGACCGCCGTAGGGAGTTCCACAGCGGCGACCCGATCGGAAGGTATGAGGTGACAATTTGTGGTGTCCTGCTGTACAGAAGGTTGACCATTCAGTATATTATTGAAAGATGATGACATATTATGTTTAAACTGTTTAACTCGACAAAGACACGGCCAAGCGAACCAGAAAGATTCCACGATTGCAAACTGTTCGAATAGCCTTGCCTTTGTTCGCGCATTTTGTCGATCGCTAGAGAAGTGCTCCCTTTTGTCGGTGAGCTAAAGTGACCATGTTGGACAGGTAGAGGTCCCAAGGGCTCGGAAGCAAAGCCGGATTCGACCCCCCATAGCCGTAGCCCAGGTTCGACCCCCTGTAGCCCTGTTCATTCTACAAAACTCAGGAAACGAAAGAAACTTCAGTCCCAACAAGATTCCGGCCCCAGCTGCTAGAGGTCAATGAAGAAGTCCTTCCAAGAGATCTTCTGGAGGTTTGGAAGGTTTTTAGACCAAATCAAGGGATCACTGATCCGCTGATTCAACGATCCTGTCGGTTCAACGAGCTGCGATCTGACTCAGGGGGCAGCTTGACCAAGTCGCAGACATCAGCTCCGCGAGAAGGCGCCACCAGGGCTGCCAGGGAGGCGATACAGTGTCGGAGATTTGGACTTGGTAGACTCGCAAGGAAGACAGTGTTTGTGAAAGTCGAGTCAAGGAGAAGCAAGGTCTAGATTTGCACCAACCTAAGGCCTCATTAGGACCCATGTAGCCTAGTGCGGAGTCTATTGCTCAGTCGTTTGGGTAGCTAGATGACAGCCCTATCTACTCTTGGGACTAGGTAAAATCATGTCAATGTAGGGTGCACTTGGCCAAGTTCCAGCTGCCCACCAAATCGACAACGCTCTGTCACCACCCTTTTGTTGCGACATGCGGCATGCGTGAAGAAGGTGAGCGCTCCAGGGAGCGACAAACTATCCAGTATGTGGACTTCGCCAGGGCAAGTTGGTGTTGCTGTCCAGGGAGGGCTCCGAGAAAGTCATGCATGGCGCTTTTGCATGTGCCGGACACGTGGTCGCGATTGTCAATGCAGTGCGTGATGCAATCATGACGGAGGGCGGACCCCAACACGAAGCAGCCATCATCCATCATCTTCCGGGTCTGGGGGTCCAAGTCTCAAAGGTAACAGCCCAAAGGAAACCAAACAGAAACAGATGCCTACCAACGTTCGGGGCGGATATTAGTTGCGGTTAGTTGTTTGATTCTTATGTATAGTTAATTAATCCTTGAAAACAAGCTGCACACTTAAAATTGAGTTTAGATTCATTTTCAAGTTACCGCCACTACCAACCCAAACTGTCCGCATCCGTCCACCGTGACACGTCGCGTTTACACCAGCATGTTTGCCTTCCCCAATGGCACGGACTCATGCAAACACACTTTCCACCGAGGTCGCGAAAAACTGCATGGCACAACGACATGACCTTCCGAAAGCTTTATAGTTGTTACCTGAAACTGCAAATTGCTGAATTTTCCTGGTCGTACGGCCGTGGCCGTTTTTTTTTGTCATTACGGTTTGCTGTTATATATGTCTGATTTTTGTGGTCATTTCCGGGAAAACGCCAAAATATATTTTGGGCGTTTATTGGGTTATTTTGTGTCTTTTTTGGCGTTGTTCGGGTAGTATCCATATTTGGGTCAAGTATGACCAAAACAACCAGCGATTTCAGTCATTTGACTGACATTTTTTCTGGTCATTACGGATAAAGCTGAACTTTGACTTTGACCATATTCCCTGGTCATTACGGCATATTCGCAAAATGGCTGACAAAAAGCAGGCAAACGCAACTCCAGGTAGTCTAATGAAGAATCACTAGTTCAATAAGGTGTTTCTTTGTAAAGGGAAATGAAATACCCTTCGATCTGGAGGTTTTTTCTAGTTTTGATACGCGCTTGAAGATGTCTGCAATATTGTATACAAAGCTGTCCTAGGCGACTTTTCCGTTTTGAAGCTCTTCCCAGGCTTCCATGTTTGCGTGTCCGCTCATTTTGGGGGCCCCCTATCAAAGCCAACAAATACATTTGTCAATTAAACCGCTTCGTTTCTTTTTAATATGGTGGAAGAGATTCCCAGGGTTCTTCTGACCCAGTGACTGCTAGTTTCATGCTTTTTCGTGTGGGCCCTGGTTCTTCGTTTGCAATTCGTGTCCCCAAACCTCACCTCTCATGCTTTGGGGCGACTCGATCGCATCGCACCGATCGCGAGGCGCGGCGGTGGTGCGAGCGGGGAGTGGCACGGATCTGCTGGTGCGTGAGGATTTGGCCTTGGAGAGGAGATCCAAAGCGGTGAAAACTGGGGATTGGGAACCTTGTGATTTTTTTGCGGCGGTTCGAGCGGATTTGGGGGTATGCTAGGGCGGTGCGTTCGCTTCTGGGATTGGAGGAAACATGTCTATATATTGGGGAACCAGATGGCTGTGCTAGACGAAAGACCATGGGGAGCAGCTCAGAGAGGAAATGTTGAACCAGTTTCAGGTGACCGCGCCGGTCATGTCATGTCAAAAACGTTCGTTATATGTTCCTAAAGAAGAAAATCGATGCCTAGCTTAGGGCATCCAGCTTAGTAGCACCAACGGACTCACCCATCCTCCTCCAGTTTATTGCAGCGTTCCGGGAGGATTGAGGAGGACATTTCTCAGACCGAGAAAGGCGCCGAACCGGCCGGCGGTTCTGGCTGACATGGGTCAGAGCGAAATAGGTTAGGTTCTTGGCTCCACATATGTTATATGATATGCATCGCTGCATCCCTAGGGATAGGAGAAAACCCCGCAACTTTGCTGGAACCCTTCAACTCCAATCACTTTAACCGCATAGTTTATGAGCCCATGTCCTCCCTCATTGATCAAATGTTTCCTTTACAGTTGTTTGTCGTCTTCAAAAGGGACGTACCTTGGATTTGTCCCAGCCCATCGAATGTGGAGCTGGAAGGGTGGACAGTTTCCAGCTTTGATGCTCACCATAAGAGACGTTCAGGCATCTGCCTCAGTTCTGGACCCAGTTCTCCCGCAGATTGGAACCAGCTTAGACCCCCAGTCCAAGCCAGTTTGCTTGCTGAACCTGTTTCCTCCAGTTTGCCACACATGGGATCGAGATCCAAACAAATGAGCGAGCTACTCAAGAGGCAAATGAAGCAGAGACTGCGTGTACAGTCATCAAACAAATCAGCAGATCATAGTTGATGTATGTTGATGTTCTTTGTGTGATGAACAACATAACATCTAATGATGCGTGCTGGCAGTCAGGCTAGCAGTCTGGCAAAACGAAAAGCCGGTGTATGGGACCACATCTAAACCTTCTGGTGCGTGGAACTCGTTCACTTCTTCGGTCTCAAGAATCATCCAACTAACGTCACCTATCTATGGCACTGTCGTTCGGAGCCGAAGCAACCCCCCCGTCCATCCTTCGGTCACGTGTTGCATTACTCCACTTGCACCGAACAACGCCAGTCGTCAACACCGACCTGTGGAGACGGGTGAGGCTTCGTCCGTCTACGGCACCGCGGGGTTTCGGGTGGAACGACGTAGCCATTCCCCAAGCGGACTACTACAGCAGCCCTTCCAGGTGAGGAAGATTCACACAAGTGGAACCTCTTAGTGAATCTTGGACTTGAAGAGGATGGAAAGAAAGGGTGTTTGGGCACCAGCGGGGTCGGAGGTGCATCACCAGATGTCACCAGTTCGCATCAGTGTCGAGCGATTTCAAGCTGTGGGTTCCACACAGTGCAGGCTATGATCAGTAGCATGCAGACCAGAATTGCACAGGTCCATTTCATCTATATATTTGTGTTGTATATATATAAGTTGTTTGGAAATTGGGTAGCCGATCCCTGTTGGTTGTTTACATTGTTTGCAGCATATCCATTGCCACACGGAGTTGTTTGCTTGGTGTGGTGATTGGTCATTTTTGAGGCCTGTTGATTTTAGTGTGTTATTGGAAACCCTTCAGCTTGCCTGCGAAGATTCTCGAGGAGTTCCTGGTGACCCTACGAGGCGAGTGCTCAAGTGAGGGCTTCATGGTTTTAACACGACTGCAATGAGTCCAATACGTGAGGGGGATGATGACTGACCAGGACACTGGACACCTGCGATTGCGTGTTCTGGGCCGCCAAGCAGCTCTTCTGGGTCCAGGTACCATGTTAGCTTCGATCAGGTTTTCGTGAAATGCAGGACTTGGTGTGTGGATTTGGCCCCGCCCCAGGTCGTGGGCACCCATGAGGACTTTGTTCGGAGACCGCGATGTGCAACAGAGGCGAAGGGTTGTTCACGATCAATCTTGATCATCTCATGACTCTTCCAGCCACTTCTGGCCACCTTCCAATCCCTTTTGTCCGGTATTTCTGAAACTTTCGGCTCCGACACATCCTTCACCTCACCTGAGGTTGGCCCTTTTCCTGTCCTACGCTCTTTGTGATTTAGACAAGGCCAGATTCGGTCCTTGGAGTCCGCGGTGGTCCGGTGACCGCTGCCAGAGGGTCGCGGTGTGTTTGGTTGCTTGTGTTCACCCCAGGTTTCCAAGAGACAACCTGCAGTATTTGATTGCACTGAAATCAAAGTTCTTCCTTTCGATCACTTGTTGTCTCAAAAGCCGGACTCACTCTCATGATATAATGAATAGATCATATAGGTTATAGATATTCATAGTTTGATTAATATATATATATATATATGTGAGTCAAGTAAATAAATATCTATATACCTTGGGTTTGTCCTATGACAATGATCACTATATGTTTGATGCTTTTTAGCAGTCCGCCTGGAACTGAACCACCATCCCTCCACTGGGCCGATAGACCTCACCGGGCTCGAGGTGAACCTCTCCGTGGCCGTGTTACCCATCCAGGACCGTTTCGGTCTCTCAGAGGCCCGGCGTCCGGGTGCTGGGCCCTGGGGAGAAGAAGAGGATAGGGAATCAGTGTTCAAGCTCTACCAGCACCCGAAACCTGCCAGGTCACCACCTGCGACTTATAAGTCTGCAAAAGCCTCCAGAGGAGACCTGTTGGAGGGTGCTGGTATAGAGTGACTCTTAGTGGGTGGTGTGGTGGTGCGGAAGTTGATTGATTCAAGATGATTCGATTTTTCAAGATGATTCTTGCTGGGCAAATTCAAGACCCTGGCTGGTTCGAAGCGCTTCGGACTTTCTTTTGACAATGGCCTCAGCCGCCCTGGTCTGGGTGTAGGAGTGTTCGTGTTTGTTGAGGCCATGTCCAACCAGAGGTTGAAGAACCCTATAGACTATCTGGACGTTCCACTTGACTACCCTTGGTGGTCAGAGTCTAGGTCCTGCTTTGATGGACGAACGGTCGACCATCATGTGGTCCTAGCTGTGATCCTTTAACCTCTCTTGGGTGGTTTGATCCAAACCGTACAGCGGCGGCCCCAGGGAGCCTGCGGCTCGCGTTACCTCGGTCCGCTCGGTCCAGTTCGTGGTCGTTTTCGTTCGCCAGTGGATGATTGATCAGCAGCCAGAATTCAAAGTTCTCTCAAAGTGTCTCAAAGTGTGTAGTGGCACCAATCTGGTCAATCTAATATTTGATCAATATCAAGTTCTTTGTTGTTGGCTTTGGCGGAGGAAACCCTTTCCGGGACAGCCCGGGGTGATCCCCGAAGTGGCCAGCGAAGCGGTTCTCGCGGAGCAGGCGGACGTGGGCTTCGCCAGCAGCTCCTTCTTCTGGGGATACATGTGGCTTGGGAGCATTGATGTGGGATTTCTGCCAGAAAGGTAACGTATACCCAGAACCTGAAGGACCTCTAGTTACTCTAGTTTGGACCACTAACGCCCCTTTCCTATCAACTCAGAGGGCCTAGCCTATACTATAGATATGGACATTTGGACCGTAAGCTATAAGGGTCGCACGGGTTTGATTTTTCGAGGCGCCCCTTGGCCTCAACCGTTGCCGAAGTGTTTGTAGCACCTGTGCGACACCTGTCCGAGGTCCTGCGAGGGAACATGATGCTGTATTTGTGTCCTGCCTTTACCACAGTTGACAGTTTTATCTCATGTTTGTACTTACCATGCCATTACTTATCATGTTGATTGAGGCATCACCAAATGCGACACAAAGAAAACGGACGTGTGAGTTTCACCATGCTTGATCCAGGCCCTCAAACACGCTCAGGTTGACTCAATTGCCTGGCGCCATGCTGATCCAAAACGTGTCACTCGGCTCACTCGACTTGACCGCGCACAGTCATCACCTGCAAAACCATTGAAATGGCGGTGCCGCAGGGGAATCTCCGAAACCACCAACCCAGTTTCTGGGTCGAGGTTAGGTGAACGCGAGGCACTGGAGTTCATGCCTGCGAGGCACTGGGACCAGGCAGTGGACCAGGCAGTGAGCCCATGTGCAGAGTCATGCTCACTGGAAAAGGACTACTGGATCATGTGAATCATGTGTATATGTCTGTTCTGTACGTACGTGGTGTCATCAGTTTGTCGACACTTTTGATAAGGTTCGGTTCAAGGACCTGAGGTCACCTGTTCTTCTCTTATCTCGAGATTGAAACGCGTGAGAAGGTACGCTTTAATCCAATCAAATGGATCCAAAGTTACAAACAAGTTATTTATATATAACTTGGTCCACATATATAACATTATCACCATCCCAGATCAGTGCCAAACGAGTTCCTGGACCTGTCTGTCTAGGCCTGGCGGTGCCTTTACGGTGCTGGGCCTTGGCGTGACGATCCAATCGCTGGGAACCTTGGGTGCCTTGGTCGCCAGCAAAACAGGGGAGAGCCAGACAGGAGTGAGTGAGGATGTTAAACGTTGTTTCATTGTGCGCTGTGCAGAAACAAATTGGGGTCTCTTTAGGATTGAACAACTTTCAAACATCCTCAGTGGAGGCAATTGAATGGGGCCACTTCCAAGACCGTCAACAGGCCAAGGATTCTACTTCGGCAAGCGCTCTTCGGAAGGGTTCTGGACTTCAGCGCGGTGTGGTCTCGAGGCTCCGAGGCCAGTGGCACCCGGTGGGGGTGCCGATGTCTGACATACTGAGAAAGGAAGGATGCTCGCAACTTCACACGGAAGGCCATGCCACAGTACGGAAGGCCATGCCACACGAAGGGCAGCGGACTTCGGTGCCGGTTGCTCTTGACGTTACGCGGCCATTTTGGCAGCACCTATAGGTGGGGGTACCAATGTGGTAGCCCCAAACACGAACTTGAGGATGTTCTCAATTTCACCAGAGCTGGCTTCTTTTGGCACTACCACTGCCAAACTGTGATGGATATGATATAGGCACTGCTGGCTTGATAGACACAGTGAATGCTAACGGCCTTTGGCGCCAGGTGAAATCGAGATTGCTTAATTTTGGGCCACAAACAGGTCGACTCCAGGATGCTCCCGGTTTTCTGCGAACGAAGTGAATAAGTACGGGGTGTGGGGGAGATCGGCAAAAAGATCCAGCCCAGCGGCCGTGATGCAAAAAGGATGTCGACGTTCTCTCTCTGGCTTTCGTCCCCCTTGCACAGGAACATGGAGGCAGTTCCCACAATTTTTGCTGTGACGTGGCCGGCCCCCGCGAAGCCCGCTGTTTTGTTCCAAGTATCATACAACATGTGAATGGAGCTAAGACTGTCTCACTACGACCCGACCCCCTTTTTGTGCTTTTGATCTATATAGTTTCAAGGAAGTCGTAAAAGATATAAAAGACATGATATTATATTTCATAGATCATAGTTCAATTGTTCGTTACCTATTCTCTTTAAAAACTTGTGTATCTGAATGAAAAGGTCCATGACAGTGGCATCGCCACCGACTCGGTTGACTCAGTTGATTTCGCTAGGATCTGAGTTGTTGGGGGGATGATGCTGATTTTTTCATGCGAGGGCAAAGACATGCAAAGACAGCCTTTGGTGGCGCTTGCTGTTGCGGCAACCAAACCACAGGATGTTGTTGTCACCTTTATTTGGGATGTTGTTGTGGCAACCTGCTGTGAGCGACACCCCTTTAAACAAATTAACGCCGCGATCGACGGCCCTCATCTGGAACGTGAGGCACTGCTACGCTGCAGTACCTGACTGATCCGCAGGTGGGAGGGAAGATGAGATGGGACGCAGCGGCCGTTTTCAGGTGCTTGCACGCGTACAAGAGATCCAGAGCATCACTCTCGGATCTGCATGCTTCCCAGTGGATTGATATTGTGCATTGCTTTGCCTCGTGGATCCCAGTGGATTCACTATGAAGAACCAGGTGGTGTTCTAGGCAAAGTTCGTGCAGAGGAAAGTCGGTCGCATGGGAACCCCTATAGGACCTTGTAGCTGCAACCCCCTTGCGTGGGTGAATGATGGTGGATGAATCAATCTTGAAACATGCACTTCGGGTGGCGCCAATGTCATGTGGGCAATTTTGAAATCCCACTAAGAGGGCAATTTTTTTTATTATTTGTTTAAGTCGTTGACCTCAACAGGTCCTTTCAGCAGTTGTTTTGATGAAGCGGAGAGAGCTTGTTTTGTGGTTGATGGCGGAAAGGAAAGGAAAGGCGCTGTGTTTTTTTCTGCAATAGATGCCTGCCCGATCATTGATTTATCAATGGAGGCTGCAACTATGTTCCTTTTCAATAAGAGACATCTCAAATATTATCAAATGGGTTTGGGAATGTTCCGGGTTCCCTAACAGCAACTTATTCATATTATCCTTGGTTGTTTTCTCACCAATACATTTTGACTGAAGCGTACTAGATCACTTGTATATAAATAAGTGACACCATGACATGAAATCGTGACGGATAACACATGCAGAGGAGCCTTGTGTAAACCCCCCTTGCATTTCACATCATTTCCCCTGTTTGAAATGACCACCTGTTTGCCAGATGATGCCACATGTTGATGTGTTTTCTCCGACTCTTCAATCTGTGTTGTCGCTTTGTCACGATGGTCGCCACACATCGCAGGCTGCCTTGTGGTTGCTTTGCCTCTCCCGCGCCTTAGTAGGCCTCGGTGAAGGCAGTGGACTCGCCGTGGCCACCGTTTCGAATCAGACCGGATCCTATCCGGATTCCCCAAAAGAGGCTCAACACACCGGAGCGGAGTCCAATGATTTGAGAGTTTTGGGTGTGTTTGTTGCTATGTTTTTCGGTCGGTCAAAGGCCGAAGGCAGTATGTGAGACTTAGGGAAGAACAGTTTAAAGCCTTTGAGGAACTCAAATTGATTTTTCTTTTTTGCGTCAGGTTTCCGACCAAATGCAAGCCCGCCCGACAAAACCAAATGTTGTAGACATCGGTTAAACTCTATAACATTCTATATTACTATTCAACGTCAACCGAGTGTGCGGCGAATTTGTGTGCAGGATTTGCTGAAGTGCTTTGACACTTGTTCAGCACCAACATATTGTAGGAGAAGAGCACCATAGAATGTGAACATCATGGAGCATCACCATGAAACAAGGAAGAGGGTTTCAGCAGGTGTCAGCGCTTGCACATGCCCCTTATATTGATCCCTTCAACTTCCTCTAGTTTTCTTGGTTTGGGGTGCAGGTAGCCGTGTAATGCAGTGCAGATATATAATATATATATACATTATGTATACATGCAATATATATATAATTATCGCAATGTTGACGTTTCAGGGATCTGTGCCAGCAACATGTTGCAAAACTGGAGACAGATCTCCCACACCCCAAATGGACCAGTTGTGAGTCCTGACAACTCCTCAACTTGCTGAGTCTGAGTATGCCCGAGTGGATTTGTACGACCCAGCAATTGCCTAACAGGTGGGGCAGCAGTTCACCTCTCTTACAGTCCTTCTCACTCACATGGAAGTGAACATGGCTCAAGGGATCAAGCTATCACGATTGCTATAAGCAAGTTTTCAGCTCCATCGATTTCCATGGTGCGTTCGTTCGGGCACACCCCGTTTTCCAATCACACCCGTCCACGCCGTTCACACCGTTCACATCGTTCCTGGGATGTCAACTGCTCCAAAAGGCCTGGGTGTTCCAGCCGTGGGTGCTTCGCTAGGCCTGGTTTGACGGCCTTGGAGGGGTGGCGGTGCAGACGATCGTGCAAACACCCAGACAGAAGCCCTTTAGAGCATGCAATGCTTCTCAAGGAGTGTGTTAACAATTCGGATGTTCATATTCTGTTGCTGCATACTTGACCAGCAAAGTTTGACTGTTTGAATATCTCATGAAGCCTATTGCTGAGGTTCTGGTCGTGCTTGTTCCAAATTGACCGATCGACGTCCTTTGGAGGTTTCCTGCCAGAAAGCCGCCGTTCGTCCGGCACGAGCAATGCCACTTGGCGTGGTTTGAGTGGGTGGCCAGCCATGGAAATCAAAGAAGGAAAGACATTGACACTACCTGGAAACGACTGCGTGGCCAGCCATCGAATCGGCGCAGGTTGTGCAGGCAACCGCGTTGCTATGGGCGATGGCCCACAATATCATACTGTATCAGTTTGTCATGTGAAGTTGACAAACATCACGAACTATGTCATGTGAAGTTGATAGATTTTTGATCATGTGATATTTGTGTAGACCGGTTTCTGGCCCAGTTTCCCTAGCGCGGGAGGCAAAAAGGGTTGGGGTTCGCAACCATGCGCCTGGGAACTTCGCCTCTCTCGATGCGTTTGACGAACTTGGCTCAAAGGTTGTTGGGAGCGAATCGGGTGATGAAGTTACACTCTGGCTCACCAACATGCAATGGGATAATGGTCTCATGGAATACTGTTTTCCTTTACAAACAGTGGATGTTCCACTTCCATCTTAGTCAGCTAGGGTGTAAAGCTTTCGCAACTGAAGACGCCTACCTCCCGGCTGTACCTGTTTGTGGGAGGTGTCATGTCTACGTTAGCACGGTACTTTGGAGATCTACCAAACGGGGTGTGACTTCCAGCCAGACATGGAAGTCGCAGTTGCGGCAAGTTGCGGCACTGAGGTATATGCGGGATCAACAACAGGCAGGAGAACATCAGCCTTGCAGCAATGTGCCAGAAGCATATTCATACAATTGCAAAGTACGAATGAATATAGCCTTATCAAGCAATATACTTCAATAGCTTCGCTTTTGATTCCTTTACATGTTCCTCAAACCTTACAGCCTTACAGGGTCCACACTAAATATCACATTGTTTGGTCCTTCCGAATTCAAGCTGGGTCCAAGACGGACGACGATTCTCTCAAATTACCAGCCTTTGGGCCATGGAGAAATCTCAATCTCAGGCTAAATAAGTATTTTAGATTATATATATATATATATTTTGATTAGAACCCAACATGTTTCTGTGGATATTCTTAAGGTGTTGTTCCAGGCAGAACTACGACACTGACGCTGACTGTCACTGACCCTTTGCTGTTTGCTGAATCCTGCATCATCGCGAGGTGTTGGACTGGGTTTGCTGCTGTGCCCCTTCCTCATCGAGCACTTTGGCGGGAGACAGATGAAACTGTATCTCCCACTTGAGAGACTGCCTCGCAATTGGTGTTCATCTACTCTTGACATCACTTGCAGTTATTGGCGTGCATTTATAGGGTCTTGATCTTTTAGATACAAACTATTGTCAGAGCACAGGACCTAGTGTAGCGGTGTGTCTCTCGGTTCTACGGCATGGGTCAACGAACTGCGCTCATGACGGCGAGTTGAACCAACCCCCAAAATAGATAGAAACGTAGATCTCGACTAACCATGTATTGAAAACCGTTTCTATCCATGTGGGGATCACTATATATTAAAGGATTTAGTTGCTCTTAAGTCACTTAAGTCGAAAACAACACATGGCATCCCGGCTAGCACGTTACATGGGATCCTATGAACCGACCCAAGGCGATGGTCATGGTCCATGACTTTCTGAGTTGGTTTACTCCGAAGGGTAGGCCGACCATCCATCGCTGGAGAGATGTCCTGTTTGTGTGACGGTTCACCTGTTGGAGTAATCAACACCCAGAGAATCCGACCACTGGACCCGGTCACCCTGCCGTTCCACCCCTGTCCGGTCGCAAGAGCTTCAATGGAGTTTTGGATGCATGCTTGCTCTGAAGGGTGCCCATTCCACACTCAGGGTGCTTGTTGGAGGGGTCTATATCAACACCATTTTGGTTGGAACATGTTTGGAACCTCGCCTATGACCCGAGTGTATTCCAACCAGATCATCGGGAGTCACTTCACCCAGTCACTGCGCTCAGTCACTTTGGATGGCCCTTCGTCTTTTGGGCGTTCGCAGCAGCAGGCGGCGGATGGACTTGACAGATCGTTTGTGGCCATCCAGAAGTGTATATATATGGACCCCCAAATGGATAGCGGCACGGTTTCCAATACATTTTCTATGTGGGGATCTACTCTTTTCGGGGTCTATGTCATATATATTATACTGTGTATATATGCACATCCCAATATAGATGAGAGAGAACTTAAAAGGTATTGCATGTGGTGATGGTGAACTATCGATTTGGGGACCGCTACCAGTACATACATACCGTTTTCAACGGTCTTTATGATTGATGATCACGGTTTACCTTTGTTTTACCTCAAAGATACCGAGACGAAACCAGAGAGCTACAGGCGGCTTGTCTACAGTCATTCTTATTCAGAAGGCTCGTATAAGGTTTTGCAGCCGGCAGAATCGAAAGGACGTTCCATCCTTCTTTGCCCAGTCCTTGTCCTTACCAAGTCACGCATGAACAGGGGAACATACCGTCCAGTTTCTATTTTTCTCCTGAGTAGACTATATAGTTCTACACATCCTCAGTCACCCTCCAATTTCCAGTAGCCTCAGACCAATCTCAGACAGATCCAGCAGTGCACCCAATCCAGCCATGGACCGATCCAGCATCCCCATCCATGGACCCGCGACGCGACCGGGAGGCCTCCTGTGGACCGGCTGGTGGGCTGCCATCGCACCCAGCCTGGAGACCGACCGCGACAGCCTCGCGACCGCGACAGCCTCGCCACGTGACAGCGAAGGTGCCCGGCCGTGACCGGTTTCGGGCGGGTCAAGAGGGCGGAAACCCAAGTGGTGAAGGGTGTTGCACCATGATGCTGGTGTTGGGAGTGGTTGGCTGCTGGGATCTGGGCAATTGAATGGTGTGTCGTTTTATTCCGGGGTTGCTGAATGAGGCAAATGGAAGGTTTATGTCTTGAGTCTGTTTGTTACCTTTATTTGGTAATATATAATCGATGTCTTAACTTCTTAACAAACAGCCACCTTTTGCGATGTCGACCTGTTGAGTGTGATTGTTTTTGCCACAGAAAATGGATAAATAGTTACTGTAAATGAACAGTCTGAACAGTGCAAAACAGGCATGGCCTAAGTTCACAGCAATTGCAGATCTTGCAGCTAGCCTCAGACTCTCAGACTGATCCTACTTTTCTTTGGAAGAGAACAACAACTTGATGGGTGGGCGTGGGTGAAGTATCTTCCCCAGATTCAGATGCTACTAGAATTCCCAATTTCTTGTTCTTTAGTCTGCAGGAGACGTGCCCTGGCAAGAGATCTTGCAAAACCCCGGCGTTTGGTCGGTAGTGGCTTGTCATGCTTTGAGCTGCTTGGCAATCCATTTCCGTGGGTGGTTAGTTTGGTTCGTGGGAGGGACGGCTCCTCAAATTGATTCCATGAGTTTGGTGTTCCATACTCTTGATGTGAGTAGGTTGACCTGAACCCCGAAAGGACCCTTGATCAGCCACGAAGAATATCCGGATGTCAACTTCTAGGGTTTTGTTCGAAGATTGGTGTGACTTACGAAGGAGTGCCTGCCTGCTTGCACCTGCACGGAATGTGTGTTTTGAATGCCTTTCAATGACTGATTGATAGACCTTGGGTCGCTCCAACATCGCGGTGTTGCTTGGCAATAATGATTGTTGTACATGTTCGAGGTTACAACCTGGAGACTGATGGTACTGAAGAAATACATGTCACATGTCATAAGTTATGGCATCGCGGAGTCCCTCCCTAAGACCCCTCAAAATGAACCTGCCATGGACGCTCCTGCCGAATGTCAACTGGTTGAAAAAGCCCTGCGGAGGCCAGACCCTCCTTGCGTTCAGCTTTGAGGGAGAAATAGCATCGGCTGTGCCGAGGCAACATCGCTTTCTATTCACTGCTCACATGGATGCCAACATTCTTCAGTCGAGGAGACCGACTGAGGTTCTGTTTAAACATAGAGCCAAACGAGTCGAGTGACGGTTCCTACGTTCACGGTTTGCTACAAGTTTCTAGAGGTGGATGCCTTTGAAAGCCCAAGCATATTGGTTATCGAGGCCGCGCCGCCTTGTTACAGATAGTTGGGCCATAAGAGGCTGAGTCTTAATGTCTTGAGTTACTAACCGGCATAGAGACCAGCCCAACCGCTGCATCCAAGGGCCCCTTCTTGGATCTGGGGCCCCCTGATGGTCTGGAAGAGTGCAGAGAGACTTAATTTCAATATATGTCAATCACCACCAGAAGGAAGGAACAATTGATCAGGTTGGGAAGAAAGAAAGCCCCTGTCCATCGGGTCAACGAACCATCTCAGTCTTAGTGGAGTCCAATCGCTATTAGGTTGGAGGCCATAGCTATTAGGCTATTCGGCTTGACAGATCCGTCAAGAACACCTGGTACTTCGGGTCAAGGAGCCATCGTCCGTCTTATTTGAAGAAGTAGACTGACACCTCATCGCGCCTGGCATGAAGAAAACACTGTGTCATGGTGAAGCATGCACTGAGTGAGCTGGACAACAGGTGAGTTCACCCCAGTGGGGCCGGTGTTTCCTCAGTTTGCAAGTAAGAGCTTCTTAGAGTCACTTATAGTACCAATGGGAGCCTTTGAAACAAGCAACTAACGGCAGTATTTGTACAGGTCTTTTGCTTCCTGACACATCTCTTTGTCTGCACGTCCTTCCTGGCACCTTCTCCGCGGTCCAACATCTCCCAAGCCACCGACAAACTGGAGGATGTACGACCATTCCTGGGTGGTGGTTTGAGAATGTTTCGATATGTATCATATGACATATTTCTACATATATGCACTGCAACATATGCAACATTATGCAACATATGTTTCGAATGTTTCATGTTTGATGATAACTTACGTTTCTACTTTTAACCTTTACCATAAAGGCATACCGCGGCGCGTCTTGCCGTGGACGGCCGTTATACCATGTTATACCCATCGATGTGAACCAACCCGACTCATACCCAAACGATCCATGGTGGTGTATACTGTATTATATATATATATATCTTTTCGAAGTTGAAAAGAACACCCAGGACTCAGTCATTTAGCCCGAAGCAGAGCTGAAACGGACTCTGAAAACAGGAGTGGGCCTGAACATCGAGCTCGCCGGCTTTTGCGCCTTCCTTCCGTACCTCTTCGGTCGCCTGGCCTTGGATCTTCTGGTCGTCGCAGCGATGCCAGGTGTCCACGGCGATGCCAGGGTTTCATCCGTTGTTGATGCGCAGGTGCCTCACGAGAAATCAAGAAGAACACCGCAGCTCCAATGGGTCTATCTTGGTCCCACCAGGTTGGATGTTTTCAGCGAATGGTTGAATTGGCAAGCGACAACCTGAGGTGTAACGTGCAAAGATTCCCCAAATTGAGGGATGCGGCGGATGCAGGTTGTGTGGGGGTAGGCTTACAGTAAATATTGAAGAAGATGGTGACTATGTATATTAATATTTGTTGATCGATTTGCAAATGATCCAACAACCCGAAACATCACCAGGTGATTTGAAGAACCGTGGGCCCTGACGCTTCGGTCTTACGCGCAGAGTGCGTGCGATCAGGCGCTATCGCCAGCGTTGGAGTCGGTAAACTCGCGGATAAGCTTTTGGAGGATGGCTGGAGACTCAGGATATCTTGGAATGACTTGTTTGATGTGCGTGATGAGTTTTGGAGTACGAAATAGATCTGGCAGGCCATATCGGTCATCAGTTCAAGCTTGTACATCAATACCTACCAACAGCATTCACCCAAAGATGCCGCTTTGGGAGATCAAAAGACCCGGGCAACTAAAAGATCATATGATATGCAATTTGTGGGTTCTATTCCAGTCTCTGGGATTTGTCCCCAGATTCGGTTTCTGGGGTCCTAAGATCCGCCAGATCTATCCGTTCGATGAAGTTCCACAGGGACTGCACTTGCGCTGCCTGAGACTCTTGCGCTGCCTGAAATAGCGGAAGGAGTTTTAAGAGTTTTAATCATGTTACATCATGAAAATACTTGTAAATTACATTTAAATTACAAATTGCAGAGTTTGGTTTTCAGGTATAGTGGAGATGTCTTTGTTCAACAGTGACTTTTTGAGTGTTGGATTTAACCATAGAGAAGTAACTCTAGGAATTTCTGGCAATTCAGGAAGGCCAGCCATCAAAAGCACCAACCAAGTAGGTCCGGCTGGTCTTGAACATTAACACGTGTTCGACACCACTCCACTTGATACCAAGCACCCAACACTTGTCTTTAGCTTGTGCTCGACAGCCCTGTCTTATGACCTGTGGGGTGTGTGAGATTGTGCGCAACTGTTCTTCTTTGGGCGTGTGAGGAAATTGACATATATCTCCGTCTCCATCTATTTGGATCTTCAAACGGCCTATTTGTTCTCCTATGAGCAAGCCAGTGCCAGTCATTTTTTGTCTCTGAAGTGCATGGCATTGTGCTGACATGGCCAGCGACTTTCGGTCGGGACATCCCCATGTGACTCGCAGGCTGGGAGCTGTCGACTCTGAGGAAAGTCTTCCAAGGCCAGCGACTTTGGATCACCAAAGCCAGCGACTGTGTCACCAGGGAACGAATTTGCAAGCGGCAGATCCAGTAGAGTAACTTGCTAGATCCAAGAATTGGGGTTCTTACAAGGTTGGAGATTCACGGATATTCATCATGTTGTGGTCTCTTGGTTTCAGGCATCGCCCACTAGTTTGGCGACCATGTTCAGCCCTCATTCTCAGCCTTTGAATTCAAGGGTTTCCGATGAATTTGGAGGCTAACAGAGTCTTTGGCTCTCCATGCTTGATTCACAAGTCCTCGTCCTGGCAACTACTCTTGTTCCATTGCTGCCCAGTAGCAAGTGCATCTCGGAATACCTCGAGTGTGACCCCGCCAAAACCCAGGGAACATAGATGACTATGATTTCCCCATTTTGTTGAGCTCAGACCATGTTGCCGTGGCATGTGTGTGTGTGATGAAACACATTCCCAGCAATTCACCTTTCCAAGCAATAGCGATGGTATGGCTCACCATCCTTTGGCCTCCAATCATTCCCTCAATCTCAGAAATGCAAGGATCAGCACTAGCCACCAGAACAAAGAGACACGCTAATCGTCTAAATCAACTGCTCCTTGGAACAATCAAGCGACCACCCGATGTTACTGTTCGGCTCGTCCTCTCCGATCTTCAGGGGTGGCCTTCTTTGGACCTGCCGCGTGCATGCTGCTGAATGCCACCCTGGGACCCTCCCTAGGAGCGAATGATGCGTCGTTGTTGGGGCGTACATCTTCGCAGTGTTTTTGGGCGTTTGCTTCGTCGTTGCTTCGGTTTGCGAGACGCCCACTCCGGTCGACATGCTTCGGGTGACATGTCGGCAGAAAAGGGGCAGTGTTGATCTCAAATCGACTTTGCTTGAGATCAACACTGCCCCTCTTCTGCCGACATGTCATGCATTTTTAGTTATCGTGGCAGCAGGTGCAGCCGTTCCGCACCCGGCAGGCAGAAGGTCAACCTATCTTTGGGTGAGGACACTATAGGCATGACGGGATCATGGTTGAAGGCCCAAGCAGACCCAAACTAGTATAGTTATATTGATTCATGATGATTCATGTTTATCTATGATTTCTCCAATTGATACTGTTGTTCTTTTGCATAGGTCTTGTTGGAGTTGTCATTTCTACCTTTGACCGCCATGAATTCATGGCCCAACCGGTCAGACCTAGCATGACCGGTTTGGCACCCCGGGGTCCGGTCCACAGGCGCACCCTCTACTCGTCACCGGTTATGGGAAGCAAAGCAGGTACCTATCATGTACCAGTGGTGCCGAACGAACATTCCTTCCTTCCTTCATCCATCATCCTTCTCCTTTGGGAGAATGGCACAGTTGTCACCACCAACTCGGGTGTTTCTTTTCGCCCGGACAGAACATGTCATTTCTCCCCTGTGCCGGAACTCACTCCCTCGCGCAGGAACAGTCTCGCAGGCTGGTTGCACCGGGCAGACGGGTTGTTTTACCAATTTCACTCCCGAAACGGGAATTGGGCCAACAAAAAGCTGAAACAATGTAGACGGTGCAATTGAAATCCGGTGTTTTTACATGTTACATCTCCATTAACATGTTGTTTTTTTGTTTTTTTAATGTTGCTTGCGTGATGTTCATGCTAGGTCCTTGATCGGACCTTTATGTCTTAAGTCTTAAGTAAGTCCCACTGTGGACGCTCATGGGCGCAGGAGTTCCTTCCGTTGCGCCACGAAGAGTTCCGCGCGCTCATCGTCGCGCTCGCGCGCGCACAGGTTGGGCTCTTGATTCTGGCCACAACGCTGAAGGCGGGTGACCGCTGTGGGCTCTTCTGCACACATGCAGATTTGAGTCCTCGCCATGCTGGAGCCGGGAGCGCCCAGTGGGGAGTGGAGTGAGGAATGACCAGGTCGGAAGTGTGGAATCATTTGGATGAGTGCAGCAAAAGATAGCAAAACAACTGGCTCCTCCCAGGAGCTATGGTGAATTGGAGAGGCCTAATGTTGCCTATACAGTGTAATGCAGAGTGGACTTGCCTGCAACAGCACTTTGGTTTGTCGCCTGGGAATTGCGCGGTAGGGAGATGAACCAGTGGAAAATGTGAGCAAAACTGACAGGTTCTTGTTGCCCTTGTTGCCCTAACATCATCAATGACATGCTGGCTGGTCAAAGGGCCAATGTCAACAGTCCTTGTGGGCCATACTTGATCGGCCGCAGTCACGTAGAAACCACCGGTGGTATACGTCCAAAGCCCAGGCCTTGTTGGCTTTGTCTTCCACCGCAGGCGCATTTTGGTTTGTTGTGCGACGTCCTCACAACATGAGCTAGCTGAAAGCATCTAACAGCATTGAGTTGTGCTTGAAGTTTGGTTTCATCGAGTCGTCGTGCTTCTGAGATGTTCTGAGTCGTTCGATTCTTCCTGGGGGTGATGCGGGTGATGGATGTGAGATCTCCTCCCGGGACGCGGTCTGACACGTCTCAGATTGCAAGGCTTACCGTAAACACGGATCAGTTCGGGTGGCGCGCGGCCATGTTGATGAACCAAGAATAGAGGTTTCCCCGCAGACATGTCCTATGGTCTTGAGGGGAAACTTCTTTTGCGGTTTTGATTGAGACTCCAAAGTCGTCTCAATTGGTTGGTCGGCTCGACAACTCCGAGGAAGAGCTGCACCTGGAAATGAACTTGCTGCGCAAGGGGTTAATGCGCACACTTTACACGTATACTTTTAAGGCTGCATGTGTGCAGCTAACTAAATGGATCAAAATGGACCGGATGTAGTCTTTTTAATCTCCTTTGATGGCCCTGGGATGGCGTTGACGGAAAATCGGGGCACGCACTAGCACCCGGCCCAATGATCATTGGGGCGCCTCCTTCTTCCTGCATCGGCAGGAGCGATTGCGCCTATCCCAGTGATCGAATACATCGGCCATCTCATTGACACCACCGGCTCCTTCTCCATGGGCCTCTTTGCGCCGTGGCACAATCGGGTTGCTGGGAGTCCAGATCCAAAGAGAGGTGGAGAGAGGTGGGCCCACGTTCCACTCGTGATGTGCATTTTGGTCCTGTGTAGTGGAAGATCAAGAGTGTAATTTTCACATGAAAACTTCCGTACACACGACCTGTGGTGGATGTACAATCAATCAATGTCTCAGCACCTTGTTCGCCATCTAAAACCTTGGGGAAATATGGAGAGTGAGTTCCACTTCTCCTGGCCAAGCCGACGCAAGCCGTGTCGCGTTGCGGAATGGCTGGATCGACGCCACTTTCTCCAAGGTGCCGGTGGCTGTAGCACAGATCCTGGGGGGGCTGATCTATGCCACCTGGCGGGTTTTTCAAGGATGTGGATGGATGTGGAGAAGAGCATGGTATGGATTCATCCTGGCATCGTTTGACCTCATGTGGCTAGTGCACTTTCTTCTTTTTTTGTGGGTGATTTGGGATGTACAAGAAATCAAGAAATCCACTAAATGAGGTAGGTAGGGCGCCACAGTAGGCAGAAGCCGGGCCTTTTGGGGACAAAGTCCCCAGAGCCGCAGATGAAGTCGGAGAAGTGTTGGATCAATCTATGGAGCATTCGAAGTGCCAGGACAAGGGGATGACTTACTTCTTGCTTTGGGGGGCTGAGGTCACGACGGCAACGACGGAGCGCCAAGACTTTGACGGATAGCTGACGCATAGGGCGGGCGCCAGTGACAGCCACAGGGCACCAGTCCCTACGCTCCCCGGGGTGGCAAACAGTTTTGGGAAACAAAGGGCTTCAGGACTGAACATCAAAGGTTTTTTTACCCTCCTAAGATGGAAGTTGAAGGACTGCCCTTGTTTGTAGGAAAAGAAGGACAAGGGAAGCCAGCCGGAACGAGATCATATGCCCCTCGAATGTGGGAGTACGTCCTTGGGGTGCCCATGGAAGCAATAGATCGCCTATACCGTAGTGAACTTGCGCATGTGTTCTTTGGAATTTGGAAGATACTACTAGATACCAAGATATACCAAGTGAAATTGTCACTCGGTTGTGAGGCCACGCTGATGCTTATATAACTGAGAAGTTCTCTTTGGGCCTCACTTATCTTCCCCAGAGACGCTCCAATCATCCAGATTAAATGCCTCCTCCACGACGCTCCTAGTAGTACTGCCCTTTGTTACTAGTAGCGTCCTTGCTTCTACCATGACGTTTTGATTTTCCCCCGACCACTTCGGTACACCCTGCCGGTGGCCGAACTGGAAACAGATCTTCCCGCGGAGCGCGTTTGCTCCGAGCACCTATCATGCATTATGATGCATGGAGAGTTTTCATTTGCCAGAACCTTCGAGAGACACAGGGTTCCTGGGTTCGGAAAGAGTTAGACCTGTTGGATTAATACTTCGCTTCCCCCAAACATGGGAAGCTTCTCTTGGAAGACCAAGAGTTGCGCGCAACAAACACATTTTGCACAACGTGTCTCTGAAGCAAAGAGTTGGGCTGAGAAGCAAACACATCTGAGGAATCCCTTGCGTCACCGGTGTCAAATCTTCGGAATCCCTTGAATGCTGGTGAATGAAGTGTGGCTCAGGATGCCACTGCATGGATTTTTGAGGCACAACAAGGTGAAGACACACGTTTATACATTGTATTACAGATGATGATTTACACCAGTGAAAAGCAAAGAGGAACTGCTAAAGTGTTCTAGGCTCTTCGCAGGTACAACTACTTCTGTAGCGACTAGAGTATTTTTACTTTTGTTTGCTCACCTGTTTGCATAAAATATTTGATTTACACCACCTTTGTTCAAACGGGACAGCCATACAAAAAACACCCTGACAGGAGCGGAGGAAGGGGTAGTTGGCTCAAAGTTCCTGAGATCATTCAGTTGGTCATTGACTCATTGACAGACAAAGATGGCGTTTCAAAGACCTGGTTGAATGACTCCTTTATCAGTGGTATATATTGTGCACGTAATGTCCCTTTGTTTTTGTGGGTTTGGTGTCCGGAACCAACTAGTTGTACGTAGAGCTTTATCTCAATTTTTGAACATACTAGTACCGAGCAGTGAATCATTATACAACCCTCTTGTGCTTCGCTATGTTGACTAGGTAATATGGACTCTGTAAACAGTCTTCAGCGGATCTAACTCAGGTTCCATGTTACGTTGATCTTTGGAACAGCAATCAACTTTAAGAGGAGGACACAAGGAGTTTGGGCGACTGCCCATTCTTTGGGGCGATGGGAAGTTTCCCACGCCGAATCGACGGTTCTGGGAATACCAAGCTCTGCTCATTCCTGGATAGATTTGCAAAGGCACTCTCTCGGACAGGCTGGAAAGGACATGAAACATCATGAAACCAACTCTCGCAGATGGTGCAGATGGACGTGTTTTTGGCATTTAAAGTTGAAAGAAGAAAAACACACAAGAGTACCACCACAGATAGAGCGCCACCACTTTGCTTTGTCAGGTATTCTGAGGGGTGGATCTATTCCGACAACAATTGGAAGAATCTCAGTGTTTGCCTTGTTTCTTGACAATCTCCATTTAATTTGTGTGGGTTTGACTTGTTTATGTAACGTCCTGCAGAAGTCACAGAACTTCGCGCGCTCACGCACTTTTTCTGATGGCTGGCTTTGGAAGCCAGGTTGAGAGCAAAGTAGTATGGGCGTAGGCAAGCCTAGCTTCAATTTGCTGTTTGGAAGCCCATTCGCCTTGTCTCACAGGCCTTTCCGCCATTGCTGAGAGTAAACGTGCGCACTTTCTGAAGGCGTTCTGAAGGGTCTTATCGCATTGCCATGAGGTTCAGAAATCAGTGGGTCAGTCGTCACACCCCTTGAAGTTTATGGCACAGAACTACAGCCCATAGCAGTGAGGAGTCCACTACCTTTGAACAATGGAACTGTTGGAAGCAGAATGAACCAATTCCAATCGTCCAGGAGCATCACCACGGCAGGAATCCTATTGCCACTTGCCAACTTGCCAACTCATCGTTGGATGACCAAACAACATCGAACGCGTGAAGACTGATCACTAGGGTTGTTACCGCATACAACTATATACTTAGGGTGAAGCGGCCAATTTTGGGTGCAAGTTACAATCTGAAAGATGCAGGCCTGGAAGCACAGTTACAGTAAGTTAGATGCTTTGGACTCACATGCAATGCCCGTGTTCTTCCAAGATTTTCACACTCTACGAGACCCAGCCAGGTGGCTGCAACAAATCGGGTGTCGGTCTAAGACTACTGTTTCATGTTGGTCTGGTCCATGTGTGGTATGTACTCGATGCGTCTCTGCCACGCACAAGTGGCAGAAACCGGCTCCCTCGGTTGTTGCCCCTAAATGAGGGAAAGCTGGCGAAAGCAATCCCAGTGAGACGTAACTCACTACGACCGTGACCCTTCTGGCTACAGCCCAGAGTTTCTCAAGCGTACAGTTCTTGCTGATGCAGCTGGTTGATGTTCACAGTACCAACTTGGTGGCTTTGACCAGTCCTCTCTTTGGTTCAAGTCGAACATCCTGAATGAGTGGACCTCGGGTCTAATACCGGCGTGCACAGACTCCCAAGCTAGATGTTGGACTTTTCATGGGTAAGGAACATAAGGAACGACCTGCTAGGAGTTTGTTGGTTAAGCTTTACCAAGTGTTGCCGAACCAGAAGTGAAGAAGTCTCAACAGTTGAGGAATGATTGGAAACGAGCAGGCAGCCCTGGTCGAACACCGTCGAATATAGAGAACCCCCCAACTACACCATGGTAGAACTGGTTCTTTCGTGTCATTTCATTCTGTTAGAAATTGGTAGAACTGGTAGAACTACACTCATTTCATTTCCGAGTTCTTTCATCTTGTACAGAACTGCTATCCTTTTGTAGGCGCTGTAGCCGGTTGTAGGCAATGTCAGCGAAGTCATCCAAAAAGATCGATCTGGTAGATCTCCCTGGTTCACGTACATTACATATATATATATATATTAATAACTATTAATGTAAATACCTTAAACATAATGAAAAAACAATAGATATATATATATATATATCCATATAAACATAATGAAAAAGGACAGTAGATATATCCTTATGTATACAGTATATCCTTATCATATTATATCCTGACATTATATCATATTGTATCCGAGATCAGTGGTTGCTTATGGTTACATGCATATATAGTAAAGCTACATATCGATATAAATTCTTGGGTGGGGTGGTGCCTGTATAGTCTGTTGTATAGTCCCTTTCGCCAGAGCTCGGAGGCTCGAACCGATTCGACCTGATTCCTCCACAAGAAAGACATGAAAAGCACCTGAGAACACACCCACCACGGGTGGTTCTGAAGACCCAAGCCTTGTCATTTTACATGACTCCGAGCTGAATGATCCTGTTGAAGCAGAGTCTGTTTGGTGAACTTCTTGGATCCGTCCACCTCGCAACCCGACATGCTCTTTTGGCCACAGCGAACCAATCTTCCAGCGCTTCAGCAGTGTCCCAGTGGATCCTGAGTACTGTCTCAGTCTGATGTCCACCCGTCCAAATCCACCTCACTCAGAAGCCTCACTGTTTGTAGACGACCATCGGTGACGAGTGGTGTATCTATAGCAGGGCAAGAGGATTGGATGAAGATTCTGATAAGTTGCTTCAGGATTGTCTATTTTCCGATGGACAGTTAGGACCAACTACCTCCTTATAATTGGGTCCAACAGGTAATACTAGCCGTATACATCAACCTGAAGAGAGGTTGGACTTTGGGCCTGGGGAGCTATCCAGATTATTTGTCTAGAGGTACTTTCCGAATATGTATTCAGGGAATTTCTTCTCTAAGATCTTGTATACCTCCGGGACAGATTGATTATAGTGCTATACATATATATATATACATTCTAGCCTTCTATGATCGTCGCCCCCGAAGCCACTCCCATGAACGATGCCCCGAGTCGACGTCCGCGGCCGGAACGTGCGACCCAGGGATGGAAGGGGGAACCCCCGGGGACCAAGCGCCCCGTGGAAAAAAACATGGTGAAGAAGAACATGGGGATGTCTCAAGCTGAGGTTTGCCAGCAAGATGCAACGTGCCATTCAGTGAACAAGCCTTTGCCCAAAGAGTCGATGCTCCAAAGTGGATTTAATAAAACGATGGCGCCATGTAAGAACTGGCAGTGCACTTCACCATACTTCACCTATCATCCGGATGGGTCCCCTGATGATCTAGATGGATAGTTCTTGGAAAGGCCTAAGGGAGGCAACGTTTCATGGTGTTTCTCTCAAGAAGGTGGATAGTCATCCCCCTGTGCTGAACAATACGCCACTTGTTGAGTAATCCAGTCAATCACACAAAATCTCACTGGATCTACTGGGTCTGGTTTCAGCTTGGTCGTTGCACGACCGCAACTTGACCGGGCATTCGTTTTGGCGACCAACGGCACCTCGTCCGCATTCGGCACGCCATGCCCAGTCGCCCAACGCCAAGCCGCAAGATGTGGAGAAACGTTTGGCCGCAGCACAAGACCCCATTCAGGCGGGTGTGTAGTTTTAATAGGAAGATCCCCAACCGTTTTGGATGCTACCGTTTTGGATGGTGTTTGGTCTATACTCCTTCTTCAAGGGGTCTTTGGGAGATCTCAATTTTAGTAATTACACACGCAGCTGCCGCAGGTGGTTCTGTTAGAGCTGCTCAGCAGCTGCTCCGTATATCCAAATCTTTCTGTCGAGTTG